CACCATATAAGACCCAGTCGCCTCTTCGGCATGGGCAAAATCAAGGAGCGGACTGCGAGTCGCTCCCAGAGCCTAAGGAATTGAATCGACGCTTACGAGCTCATCGAATTATTCATTCCGGGCCAAAAGGAGAAATCCACTCCCTTTGCCGAGTTACTTTCGGCCCGGGAGTGGGGGGCAAATGATGAGGGCGGATTTGGCCCTCCAATGATATTGACACATGGGACCTCGGAACAAATAGGTGACACCCGAAACCATTTGGCAACAACTTGCCTTAGCCAAGTTGATGGTGTCCCACCTGGCGGCCCAGGCGCGGCCTAGCCGCCTGGCCCTGGCCCTGGTGTGACCTAGCGGCCTAGCCTAGGCGCAACCTGGCGAATTCGGCATGCATATCCAAACACTCCCACGATCCTTGGAAGTTGGCCCATGTGCCAAACGATCTGGAGGGTGGTCAATGTGCATGACGGTTACCTCTAGGAATCTTAACCCACTTAGACGACCTTGCAGAAATCTCGGATATGGTGCGTGAAGCCTATGCCAAACAATGCCTATATAAAGGCACCAACCCCATAAGCAAGGGAGGTAAGCAAGTAAGAAAAGTCTAGCTTTCATACTTTGTGATTTTTAGCTCGCAGTCTATTATGAGAGTACTGACTTAAGCATCGGAGCGACCTCACCGGGTTAGCCACCCTGGGTCCTCTGACATTTGGTTCATTGCAAGTCTCTAAAGAGCAACGAAGCTCATCAAGTCAGCTCGCCACCTGGTCAGCCCAGCACTTCATAGGCAGCTTGGCACCTGGTTAGTTCAGCACCTCATAGGCAGCCCTGCACCTGGGCAGTTCGGCGCTTCACAGGCAGCTTGCCACATAGGCAGCTCGGCACCTCATAGGCAGTTCGGCACCTCACAGGCAGCTCGACACCTCACAGGCAACTAGACAGCCAAAGTTCTCCACTTCGACCTGAATCATCGGCCACTTGAAAACAGACCAAATGACGAGGTAATTAGCCAAAAAATCGATACATCAACAAAAATTGATTCATCAGTATATATTAATAGTAGTTTGAATAACACTATTCATAACATGCCACCTGTTCATGAGCTTGACTTTAAGCCCAATTTTATACTGTTTCAGGCTCGGACTTCCAGGACCTGGTAATTAGAATTTTGACAAAAGTCAAAACCCGAACCCGGCCCATTAACATGTTTTGGCGCCTTATGCTAAAACAAGTCGGGAAGAATTTTTTTTGGTTTGATCACCGGCCTATTCGACGCGAGTCCCATTTGGTTGGTATTTGGTAATTGTAATGGCCACTTCGATTTTGTAATCTTCTTCTGCACGGACCACATTTTCTAACCTGTGAATGGCTAGGCCAAGTCGGGTCTCGGGTGAGTGAGACTGTGATAGCCGAGGCTTCAGCCTTTTAGCCAATTAGTAATCTAATTGCGCACCCACCGGTCACCACCAAGCACCAGGGTCACCAGTCACCACTCACCACACAACACAGAAACGGTTTTCACCGAACAGCGTGCGTGCTAAAAGCCAAAGCCTAAAAAAACAGGCAGTAAAGGCGCAAATAGGCAGGCGCCCATTGCCTCTCTACTTCCCACCCTCTCACTACAATCCAAAACCGCCTCCATCGCTCCTCTCTCCTTCCCTTATAAAGTCACTCTTCCTCCCCCCTTTCTTCCCTAAAAATTTTCTCCGCTTTTCAACTTCCATCTACCCAACCGGCCAAACCCTAAAAGGCAAATCAAAATCTTTCTTTCTCTCGCGCACTATATTTGTTATTATTATTCAATGTCTGGAACCCTAGCTTTCTCTACCGGGAACTCTATCCTGTTCCCGACGGAAAATCGCATTTCCGCCATCGGGGTCTCCAGATCTCACCGTTCCATCTCTTTCACCTCCCGTGGTCCGTCTAAAACCGCGATTCAAGCCTTTGCGCAGACCGCCACAAGAACAAGGGCCGATGCGGTGAAGAAATCAGCCAACCTTTACCAGATACTGCGTGTCAAGGAAACTGCCTCGCCGATTGAGATCAAGGCCGCTTACCGGAGTTTAGCAAAGCAGTATCACCCGGACGCCTCCTTTTCCTCGGAGCCCGATGCTTCTGATTTTATCGAAATCCACAACGCCTATGCCACATTATCCGATCCGATGGCTAGGGCCCGCTATGATCTTTCGATTGGTTCTACAAGGCGGTTTAGCTACGCAGCTGCTATGGCCACTGGTTTCTCTGGTCAGACGCGAAGGTGGGAAACCGATCAGTGCTGGTAGACCGAGACCGACCTCTCTATTTCTCCATTTGGAATTGCAATTTTGCAACCTTGCAAGCAGAAGCTAGAAAAGCCTCGCCACATTGTACAAAGTTTCATTACGTGGCACAGGGGTTTTGATTATTTATTCGGCTGTAACTCTTTAAGCAAACGAAAAGAAAAAGGGCTTTAAGCCCATTCAGAATCAGTGAATCATCCTATCAATGATAATCCTTCCTGTCAAATGCATCTCCTTCTCCATTTGGAATTGCAATTTTGCAACCTTGCAAGGAGAAGCTGGAAAAGCCTCGCCATATTGTACAAAGTTCCATTACGTGGCACAGGGGTTTGGATTTTGGATTTTTTGTCCTCCCCCTTTTGATTACTTATGGGGAGATTGAATTTTGATTATTTATTCGGCTGTAACTCTTTAAGCAAAAGAAAAGAAAAAGGGCTTTAAGCCCATTCAGAATCAGTGAATCATCCTATCAATGATAATCCTTCCTGTCAAATTCATCTCCTTCTCCCTCCTCCATTAAAGAAAGAATGGTGGTTGCACACGAAAATGTTCCAGATTCCCCCCCTTGGGGCATTCTGTCATGACGATGCTCCCAAAAAATGGTAAAAATTAAAAATAAAAGTTATCATCCTCTTCCGTTTTATCAAATAAAATAAAATATTTTGTTAGAACAGGAAAACACTTTTTCTTATTCGTAGAAAGAAAGTTTTAGAGAGAAAATAAGAAAACCAGAGAATTCCGATTCCGGTTTAGGGGAAGGAATTGGAATTGTCCTCCCGATTAGAAAAGTTTCTATACAACTGCATCCCGTCACCCCCTCCCGCTCTCAGGCTAATCACGGTGTTATTAATCGTTATTGAGAATGCATACATCGAATCGAATTAATCCCCATTATGCAGGGAATTCCTTCGCCTCGCCCCGACACTGCTTTAACCCAAAATAATAAAAAATAAAAAATAAAGAAAAACAAAACACGGATGCACCTGATACCGTGGATTTTTTTTCTTTATTTGGTAAAAGGGATACCGTGGATGAAGCCACTAGTTTTGTTTTGAAATCCTGTGGGATGGGAAAAAAGTGAAAGTGTACCACCCAAGTTACGACAACTGTGGTCCCGCGACCACGAGGGCTCGGGTTCCAGGAATGGGTTTCGGCCCACTTTTTTTTGGTAATACAATGGGTTTCCACTTTCCGGTAATTGGATTTTTTTTGGGAGAAGTACCAATCAGCCCAGGTCAGAATTTATTAGGCTCAAAATACAAGAGGAATGCATCGTCACCGTGAATTGATGTCAAATTTACGGACAGGATGTAATTTATAGGGGAGAGGGCTAGTTGTAGGAGGTTGGAATTCAGAATTTTGCATCGTATGTTTCCGTATTTTTTCCATTTTTTTTAGGATTCTTTTCTGAAAAAGGGCAATTTTTTGCCCTGAATATCGAAAGATAATATTTTTATAAAGTAATCAAAATAAAGTAACATTTTTTTTTAAATAGCAATGAGAGGGCAATGACACTGTTCATCGTCTTCCTCTGCCCTTCGTTCTTTGCTTCTCTCGTGCGGGAAAAAGGACGCAGCTTTTTACAGTCACCCAAAGCATCCAGGTTTCTGTATCGGATGCGCCTTTTACGTCGATGAGATTGGATTTGAAAACCGCTTTGGTCGATGAGATTGGATTTGAAAACGTAGAAAGGGGAAAAAGGGCACGCCTTTTACAATCGCAGGAACGGCGGTTCTCGTGTTGAGCATCCTGATTTTGGGAGGATGAATACGTACGCAGAGGAACAGTGCAAAGTTACGCACTGTTCATCGTCTCCTGGTAGAGATCGTAGAGGTAACTTGGCCGAGAAGAATCATACGACCAAGTTCTCAAGTTCCCATCATACGGCGGTTCCTCTACGTATGAACAGTGCGTAACTTTGGACAAGACTAAACCAGGAGACGATGGAACATACGGCTTTTGTGTGGATAAGACTAAACAAGAGAAGAATCATATGACCAGAGGAAGACGATGAATACATACGGCGGTTCTCCTGGTAGAGAGAGATCGTAGAGGTAGGTAGAGGAAGACGATGAACAGTGCCACTGCGTTGATATCTTGTTTTTGTTTTTGTTATTTTATAAAAACATTATCTTTTATTGATATTCAGAGCAAAAAGTTGCCCTATACAAATATGAAATATGTACTTTCATATCAAAAGTGCAGCGGTTTAAGTGCTGGATTACAATACCCATTTGCGTTTAATTCTTTTGGTTGCCAAACAATGTAAAGGACCTTGTATTTTTGCATACGTTTGCTTATTGATGTATAGGCGTATTTGGCGATGCACCACACCCTAACGGTTAGACAATGTATGTTTTTAGCTTCAATTATATTGATTTATATTAAATGTTTCATATTATATTTGGTGTGTTTTTATGTACTTGCCATTAAACTAGACACATATAAGACTTGTGTTAGTTTAGAATGTTCATAATTGTTGGATAGACCTGGGGAGGCTTATCCTACCAACGCTGACACTAATGTGCTATCAAGTCGGTTGGGGTGGATTGTCTCAGCGGCCAGGGTTAAACCCGAAGCACATGTAGTATGTGTTTGCTTAAAACACTAAACCCAAACCATTTCCCAATTATGCCCTGAACCTTAGAGACCGGTAGGCAAAACTGGAAAGTTACACTTAACCCCTAAACTCGATTATGGTACTGCACCGGGTGTCAGATTAGGTTGTCTTTGATATGCCAATCAGTGATATCCTTTAGGGGTCAAAACTTGAGTATGTTGGGGCAGTCTGAGAATTCACTCAAGTGGATGATCATAGAGATAGGATCAGCATCTTTGTCGAACAAAGTGAATGATCAGCGACTACACTCTCTCTTATGGAAACCAAAACTGTCGGTAGTCAACTTCAACCGTGTTTGAGATTTGTTTTGCAAAATATATTTATATGTATATATATATGTTTTATGAAAAATCTTTGCAAAATGTTTTAATCCCTAGGATCCATTCGAGCGGAAGTGCAACACTGTACCTTGCAGCCGAGGGAGAGGTCCTCTTTTGTCGAACAGTGTTTGATCATTAAGGGTTGAGTGGTTAAGTGTAAGACCATTTAGGGCTTTTATACCTGATGGGCTAATCTCACTTAAGACCATTGTCCTTGGGCCTTCATAAGATGGTTGGACTCAATGACCATTTAGTGTAAATGTTGGGCCCATTTAGAGCCCATATTGATGGACTCAGGGGTTCATAAGATAAGGCTTATCGTTTCACTTCCGACTTTAGCGGAACTGGGATGAGTCCTTATCGTGATCTCGGAAAAGTTAGGGTTTGTTAGCTCATCGTGATCTCGAGTAACTTAGGATCCATTAGCTCATTGTGATCTCGAGAGATTCAGGATCTATTGGAGAGACCTCTTGAGACGGTCACATGGCGATTCGGGTTGTTAGGCCCGAGCTGATACTTTGATTCTTTAGTTCCGAACTGGATTGGATGCAGAGATGCCTAGACGCCGAGGTGAGTTTTGGGCTGAGGTGGCCGAATACCCGAGCTCAAATGTTACGAACTAGGCTTGCCGGGTTGAGCTGTCATCTCTTAATCAGGTCGCATCAACGTGTCCCCTTCCCGCTAGGTCGGGCCAAATCACCCTTCATCAATTGCCCCCCACTCCCCGAGCAAGGGGTCTCAACCCGGTGCGGGGAGTTCATGACGAGTCCAGGTGGATTTGGCACGAGGTCTAGGCGGCTTGACGGGCGAATCATTGGTCGGACCTGTTCGACCGCCCAACTTAACTAGGAAATACCCAGGTTGCGTCTAAGTTACGCACGAACGTCACACCGTTTCATAAACTCCGCGGACGTCAAAACACGTGCTAAATCGATTTCAACCTCGAGGGTCATGCAACCGGTTTTCCTAGGAGCCGTTGGATCGTGTTGATCTCGACTGTTGATCCCTGGATACACTGGCTATAAATAGGGGCCAAGGGGCACATTTTCTTCGCCACAAGTCCGCAATCTTTGAGGTCTCTTTCCTTTCTTCGGTCTTCCTTTGCTTTTTTCTTTTCGATTCCGTGTCTTTTTAGCATATCTAGTTTTAGTTTTGATAGTCTCTTAGACGAGAGTGGTGAATCCACTGGTACCTCGGCTCAGGCCGTGGGTCCTCGTCCTACCGAGGAAGTTACTTCGGACCAGGATGCGGTCCACGGTCCTCCCGAGATGAACTCACCTCGATGAGAGCGAGAGGCCTCAGGTAACTTGGCTTCCACCTCACATCAACTTCCCAACAACTTTGAATATAGCATCCCCTTAGGTAACTTCCCTTGGGACCACAGTCATGACGAGATCGTGATATTCGAGGAGCAGCTCGCAGCTGGTATTCGCCTTCCATTTCACCCTATCATAGTTGAGATCGTAAAGTTTTTCAACATCACCATAGATCAGTTACACCCGAACTCTATCTGCAACGTTGTAGGGACCATTTCACTTTTTCACGATTATCTTCCCCTTGACCTCGACGTTTTTTCTTCTATCCTTTCCATAAAGAAGAATTCGTCTTGTGTTTTTCCTGAGCATAGGCGAACTTACTATCTATCACCTCATCCTGGCTTCAAACTTTTGCATGAGCTCCCTAACAAGGTCCCTGCCTAGAAGAGGCGCTATTTCGTGATCTGCAACATTGAGGGGTAGCCTTTCCTAATTCACTAGAGGGTGGCCATCCAGGACCCCGATGTTAGGTTAGACCTGAAGACAAGGGAGGCGCTTCGATCTTGGGCGGAGCTCGGCCTAAAGTTTGAAGACTTCATGACCAAGGAGAAGCTCGTGCAGGCCGGTCTAAGTCCTTGTAGGTCACTGTTTGTTGTACTTTCTCTCTGTTTTACTTCGGTATTGCATCTGACAGCTCGTTTCACATCGCAACTATCATGGATATCCCCGCCAACAAACTCTTCGGGAGCATGAAGAAGGGGAAGAAGAAGAGAGCCACCAAGAAGGCTCGCATTGAGCCCCCACCAGCTGTTGTTCCAGAGCCCGAGCAGCCATCAACTACCGATCAACCTCCTGTAATAGACCTGGTCGAAGAGGATTCGGGCAAGCCCTCCCCACCCCGTGTGCCCGAGGAGGCTACGTCTTCGGAGCCCATCCCTGCAGTTGCTGCTTCTTTAGGCAGTGACGATGCAGTTCAAAGTATTTTGACTCCAAAATTCGGCATTCTCAAGAGCAAGGGCGCAGTATTTGCTGAGGAGGTCACTAGTTGGGCTGAATTACCAGTTGCTCAGCTCGGAGCCCGAGCGGCTACTCAGTGCATGGTGGTAAGTTCTCGAACTTGTCTCTTCAATCTGTCTTGTACTTGGATTTTGTATACTGACGCTTGTTTTCTTCTCTTTGGCAGTTGAATTCCACCATCCATGCCTTGGCTTATCAGTCCGAGGTAAACTTGAAGTGGACCCTCGGAGCCGAGGAGTCTTC